TTTTACATTTATCCTATCGTGTATCGTTTCATTGCCATGGTTACAATCCCCTCCATGAATCATCAATCAACCAAAGGGTATACACTCCAAGCCTGCCCCCCTATCGTCAGCACACAGCCCCTCTCCCTCTCTGTGTCTAAAGCCCCAAGTTGCCCAACCCTGTCTACTCTGTGTGTGGAGGGGATGGGAATGATCCTTGCTGTAAAGATTCGTTTCCTCTTCAGAACTACTGCATCCATAGGAGTAGGTCAAGTTCATCAAATTGTATCAAATTACTCTTTTTTTCCTCTTCTTTCTTCTTGTGATTGAGCTCTGATCATCCAGTCATTGAAGCCAGGTCAAGTGGGTACTGTCTGCAAGTGCCCCCCCCACTCTTAAATTAAACTCCCTCTTGAAACCTTGTGGGCCAGTCATTTTGTGCCTTTATCACCCCCCTCATTTTAGGTAGCCAATGTCTAAGTTGCCCGTCCCTATCTACCCTGTGTACCTCTCTGTTGGTATTTAGAGTTACTACCTCCATGAGTATAGGTCAAGTGCATCAAATTGTAGCAACTTACACTCCTTTCATCAAAAATTGTTTTTTTTTCTCCCCTAGTTGAGTTCTGATTATCAAGCCATTGAGGCTATGTCAAATAGGTACCATCTACAAGTTTGGGTGTTCTTGTGCATCGCCCCTCACTTCACATCCGCTGGATGCTTCACTCTCAGCTGTAGCCCTCTGTGGCCATGTCCTTGTCCATGGGCTCAAGTGTCCCCAGGTCTCACCACACTTTGGACCAACCAGACCTTCCTCTTCTCTCTCTAATCTCCAGGTCGACGGAAGTCTATGGACTGTGGCTGAACTCAGCCTATTTCTTCATTGCTGCCTTTCCCCCTCTTCCACTCACCAGTAGACCAATGTGGTCACCAGCAAGCTTACATGTGGACTCATGTGTTCCCTCTTCAGTCTTAAAGGGGGGCCTGTATGATGTTCTTGATGTCACCCCACAACTCTTCTGATCTTCTGTCTTTAGTGTCTAATGCATTAAATCTGTTCTTCAGATGATCTCTAAATTCAGGTGGGATATATTCAACGTCATATTTTGGCTCTCGTGGACTTGTTTTCATTTTCTTCAGTTCAGCCTGAACTTGCATATGAGCATTTCATGGTCTCTTCCACAGTCTGCCCCTGGTCTTGTTTTGACTAATGATATGGAGTTTTCCCACCATCTCTTTCCAAAGATGTAGTCAGTTTACTTCTGTGTATTCCATCTGGGGAGTCCTGGTGTGGCACTGTGAGTTAATGCACTGAAATGAACGTTTGCTTTGAACCTCAAGATTGGTGATTCAAGCTCTCCAACCAGTCCTCAGAAACCCAAAACAGGGTTGCTATGAGTCGGAACCAGCTCCAAGGGACATACCAACAATTCCATCTGGTGAAGTCCATGTGTGAAATCATCTATTACATTGTTTAAAAAGGTATTTACAATGTAGACATCATTGGTCTTGTAAAATTCTATCATGTGATTTCCAGTAAACCATGTGATTGTCAGATTCAAAATGGCTAATACCAGTCCATTTCAACTCACCAATGCCTAGGATACTATTTCATTTGTGATAACTCCCAATTTTCCTAGATTCATACTTCATACATTCCATGTTCTGACTATTAATGAATGTTTACAGCTGTTTCTCCTCATTTTGAGTGTTGGCCCATCAGTAAATGAAGGGCCCGCGGGCTTTACTCCATTCATGTCATCACAGTCAACTCTACATTGAGGAGGCAGCTCTTCCCCAGTCGTATTTTGAGTGTCTTCCAACCTGAGGGTCTTATCTTCCGGCACTATATCTGACAATATTCTGCTTCTATCTGACAGTGTTCCACTGCTATTCATAAGGTTTTCAGTGATTAAATAATCCGAAGTAGTCTGTCTCTCCTTCCTCATGTCCACCATGGGTAAAAATTATCTACCAGCATTTAAATGGCAAAGGATTTTGCCGAGCCATGGATGCCCAGTTCCTGTTAAACAGAGTATCATCTCCTCTGGAACCTCACACCCCGATAGCCAAGGTCTCACATTGTCCGTCGGGGTGCTGCCATCCCTGTGGACGCACCTCTGGGGCCGTCAGCTGCCTATAGGGTTCACACCACATGGGCCCCAAGGAACCAGCTGTGGGAAAACACTGTGCTTTACAGATGGGAAGTCTACACCAGAGACCACAGTGCGAGCCCTCGCCCACAGCTACGGAAGGAGACATGACAAAAACTGGACTTGGAGAATAACAGGTGGAGAAAAGCACTTGTCTATAAGCTGCAGTAAAAACACAGCTGAGGTTGGGCATGTTGTCAAGAGGGACCAATCCCTGGAAAAGGACACCATGCTCGGGACAGTAGACGAAGCCCCACAATGAGGAGGACTGGCACAGTGGTTCCAACATGGCCATGACTGTGAGACGGCGCAGGGCCAGGTGGTGCTCACGTGGGGTCGTGATGAGTCACAACCAACTGGATAGCACCTAACAAAAATATCAGTAACAAGGCAGGAGTCCCCGGATGGCACGCATGGTTAGGTCCTCAGCCACCTGGGCCTCCCAGGGACTCCTGCCTTATTACTGAAAGGTTGAAAAGTTCAAGTCCAGCCACAGCGCCTCAAAAGACAAGACTGGCGACCGGAAACTCCCCAGAGTGGTTCTACTCTGACACAAACGGTCACTATGAGTCATAGCAAGAAGATAATAATACAGTTCGTACAGATCCAGAGCTAAGATACTCAGCTGTGTCTTTGAACCAAAACCCCAGCTAGATCCCCGCGCTCTGTGCACACGTTTGTCCAATCATGAGACAGTTCCTCTGCCCCAAAACGGACTGGAACTTCTCTTCCCTTCCTCCAACACCTGGCAGGTCTGTGTCAGAGGCAAAGCTGACAGAGGGCTGGGGTTACCAAGGAGGATGAGGGAGGCCTTGAGTGGTGCCAGCAGCTGCTCATCAGAAGGTTGGCAGTTTGAGCCCATGCAGCATCTCTGAGGAAGAAAGATCAGGCAATCCGCTTCTGTAAAGATCTCAGTGTAGAAAGCTCCATGGGGCAGTTGTGCTCTTTAACATTTAGGGTCACCATGAGCCATAATCAGCTCGACAATCCCTAACAGCAGAGGAGGCAAAGGGAGCCACCAGATGGCGCAGTTAATGCACTTGGCTGCTAACCGGGTGTTTGGAGGTTGAAGCCCACCTAGAGGTGCCTCTGAGCAAAGGTCTGGTAATCTACTTCCAAAAACTCAGCCGCTGACAACTGCGGAGCGCAGATCTAGTCTGCCACGCACGGCGCTGTCGTGAGTCAGCCTGGACTCAGCTGCTGGTTTGTGGGATTTTTAGGAGGAGGAGAGAAACAGGCAGCAGAGGGGTGCAGGACAGGCACAGCCTCAGGGACAGAGAGGGGACGGAAGGCGGCAGACGGCACCTACTCACTTGCCCCCGATCTTGATGACGTTGTTATGCACCAAGTGAAGGAAGAAGTCAAAAAGGCTGCTGGCGGTCTCATTTAAGGAGCAGCTCTGAAAAAGCAGATGAGAGAGGCACGTGGGCTGGTGAGCAGGGCTGGGGGCGGTGGTTCCGGGGTGTGGCTGGGAGACCCGGGCGGATATAAGTGGTTCCGGGGTGTGGCTGGGGGACTGGGGCAGATCAAGTTGTGCACTACCACCTCCCCGGCATGCAGCGTGATGTTCCCTTGCGGGGTCAGTCTTCTCACTGTGAATAAAGCACAGGCGAGAATCCAGGATGGAATGTGGTGTCTGCACTCAGTTTGCTCAATGCTTTGGGTCACCTTTGGGTCACTCATGCTCTCGAGAGCTGACCTCACATTCCCCTGGGCCTGGATCACCCACGCCACACTCCATGGTCCCATCCGGCCTCTGGAGCATCAGGGCCTGGGGTCTCAGATCAGATGTTCCCAGGACTCCCCTCTAGTCCAACACCCTGGGTCCACCACCCACTGACATTCGGTGGATTCGGTTTCCAAGACTGTGTTTACAGTAGCAGACTGCCACAGCTTCCTCCTGACCTTTCAGTTAGCAGTCAAGGGCTTAACCCACTGCATCACGACAGTTCTGTGTACAGGGATTTGGTTATTGAGTGCCATCAAGTCGATTCCGACTCATACAAGAGACCCTTTGTAGGATTTCCATGGAGCGGCTGGTGGGTTTGAACTGCCAACCTTATGGTTAGCAGTCTAACAGGAAATCAATCGAGAGGTCTCCCAGCATCACTGAGTGAACAAGGTGCCCCTGGAAACATGGATAACCAATAGATAAAGCTCTGCCCAGAGCCACAGAGCATCCCACCCTGGTGGCCTCCGGCACAGGGGGCAGTCTCTGCTCATGACTATGACAGACAGATTTACATTTAATGCCTCTGCTCCAAGTGATCTGTGGGTTAAACCCTATTTGCCTGCTGTAAAGGGATGGGTATACTTTCTTCTGGCCTCAAGATCAAAGTTGAGGGAGAATGCCTTTCAAGCATTCTTGCGTTAAGTGTACCACTTAACACAGCACCTGGAAGGCAGTGAAGGATTTGGGTGGACCAAAGAGAGAGAAAACGTGGCCAGAAACCAGGAGCATTTTTTCACTTGAAGTGGTCCCTGAGTGGTTCTGGAAGGTTCTCCCAGCAAAGGACAAGTATCTGTAATTAACGATCTGCCGGACACAAGAAGAGTGTCCCAAGGCCAAGCCAGTCAACATTCACCGCCACGGCAAACACAACCCATAGAAAGCCTGCTCCCAACTCCCCATCCAACAGCCGGGATCCACACCCAACAAAGGTGTTCTGGGACCTGCTCAATGACGATGGCGTTCTTCATTGACCCAGTCTCCTGTAAATGCTCCACAAACTGTTTCATGTATGGCAAGAGGTCTGCTAAGGTGGAGACCTGCAAGCAAGAAGGAAAGAAAAGTAAATGCAGGTCAACCATAAACAAATGAAAGAACCCAATCACATGTCAATGTGTCAATTTCGACTCACAGAGACCCCACAGAGGGTTTCTGAGGCTGTAAATCTTTATGGAAGCAGAAAGCCTCATCTTTCTTTCGAGACCCTCCTGATGGATTAGAACCACCGACCTTGACGTTAGCAGCCCACTGCCTAGCCCACAGTGCCACCAGGGCTCCCTAGAATGACCGTCCCACTCACTGACTCAATGTCAACTCAGAGCGACCCTACAGGACTGAGGAGAACCACTCCTTTGGGTGTCCAAGACTACAAATCTTTATGGGAGCGTGTAGCCTCGTCTTTCTCCCATGGAGCAGCTGGTGCCTTTGAACTACTGACCTTAGGCTTAGAAACCTAACATGCAACCCAGTACAGCATGAGGGCTAAGACCCAGCAATTCTACCCCTCAGTATATACTTGTTGTTACTGTTGCGAAGTGCCATCAAGTCGGTACACACTCATAGCAACCCTAAGTACAACAGAAGGAAACACTGCCCAGTCCTAAGCCAACCTCACAACCGAGGCCATCACTGCTGCCACTGTACCAATCCATCGCATCGGGGGTCTTCCTCTTTTTCTCCAACCCTCCACTTTACCAAACATGATATTCTTCTCCAGTGACTGGTCCCTCCTAATAAAATGTCCAAAGTATGGGGTTCCCAAGGAGCAATCTGGCTGTACTTCTTCCAAAACAGATTTGTTTGATCTTTCAACAGCTGACAGTAATTTCAATATTCTCCTCCAACACCATAACTCAAAAGCATCAATTCTTCTATGGTCTTCCTTATTCACTGTCCCACTTTTACATGTATATGAGGTTATTGAAAATACCATGGCTTGAGTCAGGTGCACCTTAGTCCTCAAGCTGACATCTTTGCTCTTCAACACTTTAAAAAGGTCTTGTGCAGCAGATTTGCCTAATGCATTATACTGTTTAATTTCTTGACTCCTGCTTCCATGAGTGTTGATGTTTGATATGAGCAAATAAAGTCTCTGACAACTTCAATCTTTTCTCCATTGATAAGAATGTTGTTTGGAGAACAAACAAGATGGCAGATTGGGTAGATATGTAGTGAGGAGCTCCGTCACCAACAACACAGAACACCAGACCAAGCAGGCTCAGGGGATGGTCCCAGAACTCTGAACCACATATAAAGGAATATTTAGAAGATTGGAAGGCTTACAGCTAGGGGAATTTGTAGCAGAATCAAGAAATCCATTGCTTTCTAATGCAAGACGCCCAGCTACTCCCGGAGCCACCATCTTGGGAGAGACCAAGTGGGGGAAGGATCAGAACAGCCACAAACAGCTGAAAGAATGGCAGAGATACAGGTGTGGACATTCTTTATTTGTTATCTGTTCATTGCTCTCTTGCTGTCTACACACCGCCATTCTGGTGACTAGAGAGGGTGCCAGAGAGAATGGATACCCCACCCACACACCCCTGCGCACAGATCTCTACTACGCATGCGCACAGATCTCCTTGAAATTTAAAGTGACAGTTTCCACTTAAAACCAAACAGCCACCACTCGTCTGACAGTTTGTCGTACTGTGGTAGCTTGAGTTGCTGCGATTCTGAAAGCTATGCCAACGGTATTTTAAACACCAGCAGGATCACCCATGGTGGACAGGTTTCAGATGAGCTTCCAGACAAAGACAGAGTAGGAAGAAAAAGTGAAGAACTATTTCCTAATCTTTAGTCACTGAAAACATTAATAGCAGAGAAACACTGTCAGATATAGTGCTAGAAAACGAGCCCCTCAGATTGGAAGGCAGTCAAAATGCGACTGGGGAAGATCTACCTCCTCTAAGTAGAGTTGACCATGATGATGCAAATGGAGTAAAGCCCATGGGAGAAAAGCCCACAGGACCTTCATTTGCTGATGGGGCAAAACTCAAAATGTAGAGAAACAGCTGTAAACATCCAATGAAAATCGTAACATGGAACATACCAAGTATGAACCTGGGAAAATTGAAAGTTGTCAAAAATGAAATGGAATGCATAAGCATCGATATCTTAGGCATTAGTGAGCTGAAATGGACTGGTATAGGCCATTTTGAATCTGACAACCACATGGTTTACTATGCAGGGAATGACAAATTGAAGAGGAATGGTGTTGCGTTCATTGTCAAAAAGAACATAT